CAGACTAGTAACTGTAAAGGATGAAGGAAAGACAGAAAACATACTGTGAAAACACATTATTCTCTGAAAATAAATACTAGAGATTGCCAAGTGTTTCTCCACCTAGCAGCATTAGCTGACTATGTCAAGAACCTGAAAAAGGGAAAAGGAGCCCTCTTGCATCTCCAGGAAGTGGTATATCTTACACAAGAAACTGTAAGGAAGAATACATGAAAATGGTTCTGAGAAATGGCCCTAAAATAGCCTGAGCTTGCCTTCATAGCAGTGGGAGCTGCTGCAGTCAGTAACAAGCATGGAGCAATAGGTAGGGACAAAGAAAAATTGTGAAAATGAGAACAGAAAGGTGGAACTGGACATGGTAGAAAATGATAGACTAATACAGATGGCTCCAGAAAGTGATGTGATCAGGATATCAGATGCAGAAAATTACTTCAGCAGTTTTAAATGCATGATCAGCATGTATATTTTTTCCAGTTGTTTGCTGTTTTTTCACCATATTTTTGATCTTCTCAGAAATTGAATTTTGGACTTGGATGTGTATTTTATTTCTATACTCCCAGAATCTTTGTGCTTTAGTTTCCACGGGTTTAAGAAATAACTCTATACCACCAGTGTCATTATTTTATTGGTGAAACACTCAAGTTCTTTTAATAACAGATGCAAGAGTAAGTTTATTTCTTTTTTTTTGGTTTTTATAGGAAGTATCCATTTGTAATAAAGGACATTGCAAATTTATCTATGACAACTACATATTCACACAATTTTAGTGGGATGCATCTGAATGGCACATGTATTTTTGTACTTAGTGCAGGTTTTCTGAGAAGTCTAAGCTGAAGTTTGTGTGTTTATACGTAAGCTGGAACCATTTTTGTGATCTAGTCCCTACGCAGAAAAGCTTCAGAAAGACAATGTCAGACAAATTATAAAACCCTCAAGCTGTGCAGAATGAAGATAGTGTCTGTGAAGGTTTCCGTATGCATAGGCATGTTTAAAAATACAGTCCTTTGTTGATTTCTTCTCAGTTGTTTTGTTCTTTTTTTTTATTTTTTTCCCTCTGATTGTCACTGTCTGAGTTTCTAGGTTGTAGATTAATGCTTAACACTACCCACTGTGTATTTGTGATTTGCGTTTTGTAATTAAGGGGAACAATGGGAGTCCATTGGGTCTCGTTATATATAATGGTTGGTTTAATTTGTTTCACTTCTATCTTGTTAATTGTAAATTGATCATTAAGATTTGAATTCTAATCTGTCACCAGGGTTGTGAGTATTGAAGCTCGAGCAATGATCCTGGTTTTAATCACTGATGATGAGAAACAAATTTTATAATTTTGGTACATATTGCAGTTCATATATTTTAACACTGTATTTTATGGTGTTATAAATATTGTTAAATGACTTTTAGTGTAGTTTTACTGTTTGGACTATAATGTATAAATTATATTACTGGTTTGGCAACAGTAGGCATCCAACTGTGTGAGTTTAATTGAAGTAAAGAACACATACCCGGCTGAACTATTTTTCTGCATGTTTGGTTGACTGCAGTCATTGCGCTCAATACCAGGAGTGAAATGTTTGCCGAAGGTAGCCATACAAAGATGGGAAACAGTCTGTCTGAAGGTTCAGTCATTAAAATTATATGCAACAATACTGCATCAGCAGAATATGCTTTAGAGCATGCATTTCATTTCTGTAGGAGCAAACAATTGGCTTTAAGAGCAGGAAGAGGCAATGTTTTTAGAAAGCTGCAATGTAAAAGGTAATTTTGGAGGAATAAAGGAAGCACTGCCACCTTAGCATTCAGCTCATCCTAGAAGTATCCTAAGACTGACTTTGAATTATGACTATTTAACATTTGCTGGGTTTTTTGCCTCTAGTATTTGAATATTTTGGAGGAACTTGTTTGGGTTTTTTTTCTAGCAAGGATGGTAGCATAATCTATTACGCATCTAATTATAAGTTTTCATTTTACATTTTCATTTTCATGTGACATTTTAGCTTTGCTCTGTGTGGTTTTGCAATAAGACTGTTTTCATACAGGTCTTTAAAGTCTATCAGATGTCCAAAGCACACAGAGATACATGACTGCATGGCTTGTGGGGCCAGCCTGAGCCTGCAGAAGTGCACCTCCATGCAGAGCTCAGCTCAGATGGCGGCACTCCAAACGTCTGCATGCTTCAGTTTTTTTTGAAGTCCACCACAGCTTATTAGTCATACTGTTGGACCCAGAGTAGCTCTTGTGGAGCGACATTGGCACATCTGTGCTGTGTCCTTTAGTTGTGCTGGATCCATCAGACATACTGCTCAGTGCTTAGATTTTTCTCATTTGCCTCTGTCCCTGGCATTATGAGCAGGCTGTCTCTGAAGTTCAGAACTGTGTGTTTTGACACTTCCCCCCTCTTTCTTCTATCCCTGCTGTGATGCCTTGGGAGCAGGGTGATTTAGAAGCATTTACACAGTACTGGGCCTGCCCTGGCTGGATGGAATTGCTACTTCTAGTATAAATGTGCTATCACATTCAGTACAGTTGATCAGGCTTATTACGATTAAGGTTGGCTTTGTGGTTTGGGGTTTTTTTAACCTAACAGTTTTGAAGTTATTTAAATATCATACAAAATTAACTGTTCTGTCTTAATCTTTGGAAAGTGAGGTGGACGAAAGGCATAGTTAAAGGTGCAGAGGGATTCTTTGGCAAGTGATGATGAAGACTCTTGGTGTGCAGTATTGTACTGGAGCTGGAGTTCTCCCTTCTAATGATAGAGGTTCACATGTGAACCTTTCAACATTGATCTTAATAAGCATTCTGCCCTTAATATGTGCTGTCCTTCAACACTTGAATCCTGGTGGTGAGACATTTAGATACTTGGAAAGGATATTGTGTAAATGTCTTAACCAGAATGAATTTTATTTTTTTTTCTGGGTTCAACTGTAATTGCAAAAGATGTTTTAGGAGAATCAACACTAATAACATGGTTCAAAGCATCAGGCATTTAGAGCTGTATTTTAGAGATTAGAGATTATGCTACTCATGTTGTCAATGAATTCAGTACTTTCTTTTGTTTCATTAATTGTAATTTTTAGAAACATTTTGATTTTGGTTGATTCGTATTTCTTAATCTTTCCAGAAAGACTTCAGGCACCTTCAAATGTGCTGGGTATGAATAAGTCCTTTTAAAACTTTGAGATTTTTGTCACCTGGATAGTTGCTTCTGCTGTTTCCATGACTGAGACAGTCATATAAATACAGGAAAAGAGCAGGATCCCCCAGTGGGGAAACCCTAAAAACATGATAATTTACGGTATTCCTACATGTCAAATGCTGTTGCTGAATTTTGATGGCAAAAAATGGGACACAATATTGAATTTAATCTTTGTTACCACTTGGTTGGGCTTTGTCATGTCAGGTCTCTGTTGAGCTGCTCTGCAGTGGACCTTTGCTTTCATCCACTAGTTGTCTGTCTTACAGTATCAGTAGCAAGTCCAGACTGCATTCACGTTGTGCAATAACAGTTGGTCCAGCTGGCAGTGCTTTGTTAAGGCAGGCATTTAAGTTACTAGTATTTCTGTTACATGGTCAGTGTAAAAATCCGATTTCAGCTACCTTCCTATAGCATCCTGCCCACTGTTACCTACGTTTGATGTGCAAATATATCAGCACAATTCTCTATATTTGTCAGTGATGTTTCTTAATAGAGCTGTAAGTCCCTATCTGAATTCAATTACAGTCTTCGTCCAAAGTTTCTTTTGCTAAGTTCTTTTAGATTCACAGATGATACCATGCATTGTTCTCCATTTAAACATGAAAAAGATTGTTGTCATTTCCAGATTTGACTTGTCAATGTAACAACATGTTTTTGAGGGAGGAGTATTCCTTTCCCCCTGCACTTTGTTGTGTTTTTCGGAATGTCAGTTGTTGTTGCATTCTGTAACAGCCAGGAAGGTAAAGTATCTTTTTGCTGTAACTGCAGCATATTTAAGTTTATGATTTAAAGATATATCTGAAGCTTTTTAACCTCAAGATCTGGAGTGGCAGATGCCGTAAATCAGATTTGCTTGCTTTTGATTCGTACTTTCTGATGGTATAGCAGATTCTGACATGTTCTCATTAACCTTTTCCAAAGAGTTAAAACTGTACAAGTGCATAATGTATATTTTATCACAATTTAATCTGAGGTCTTTTCCTGATATTAAGAAGCAGCTCATGCCTGTTTCTCCGTGGACTGATGGTTAGAGATGTAGCAAGTAGCAGTCCCAGGTCATTCATGGATCTGGTGTCTCTGCTCACCCGTGAAGAATAAGAATTGCTTAGAAGTGACTAATTTTCTTAAAGGCTGTGCTGAGTTTTATGTAGATTACTATGTGCCTGTATGATTTGTCCCTCGCTTCCTAAAGTTTTATTGATTTTCATCTTAATGTGGCTTTGGTTTTTTTGGGGGGGGTTAGGTGATTATTTTTGTGGGGTTTTGTTGTTGTTTTCTTTAAAATGTGTAATATTATTTTGGGCATATGACGTTAATAAAGTTTCTAAACAAGTACTGCTATTGACAATTCAACCTGTGCAGTGGAGGAAAGGTTGAAGAAGTTTTTAGCAGCCTTTTTTTAAACTAGATGTTAGCTTTTACTAATAAAGAAGTTGAAATGTGTTTTCAAAATGCTAGCCAAATTCTTGCTTAACAAGTATGAATTTACATTTATTGATCTTATTTAACATCAACACATAATGCCAAATGACATGCCTGTTTAAATTAGGCTGAAATTAGCTTAGCCAACCTATGACTGAGTGATTGCCATTGGCATACTTACCAGATACCCTTCAGCATCGTATTCTTTTGTCTTTAAGATATCTGAAACAGCGTTTTGTTTCTGTGAGTTCTAGTAATAGCCTGTTTATGCATTGCATGTACATGTTGGAAATCTTATAAATGCTGAAGCCACATATTGATGGCACACTGCGGGATGAAATCTGACAACATCCATCATCGCTTTGTTTTACTTCTGTAGATCTGAAGTCAACCAGCTTAGTCGGGAAAAAGAGTATCTTCATGGCAGATTGGAGAAGATGCAGAAACGGAATGATGAATTGAACCAACAGTGTATCCAGCATGGGAGAATGCATGAGAGGATGAAGTCAAGGTAGGAGGTCCTGTTAATCTGTCAGTATGCGATATGCTCTACTGTACCAGTTGTGTTGTGTAAACATAAAAATGACACTAGGTTGTGTGAGAGTAATATTCTTTCCTCATGAAAATGACCATCCCTTCCCCCTCCCCAACCATTCTGTCAAGTTTTTTTATAACATCTTTTGCTTGTGCCATTTTGTATAAATAAAAGGAAAGCTTGAACAACATAGTCTTCCAAAGAATTTAAGCCTAGTACATATGTGTGTGGGCTGCTTCGGCTGTTCTCTGCTCTAACTTGGATGAATAGTCTTACCATATTAGAAAAAAGGGGGGGGGCTGTGGAGAGGAAGGAGAGAGGAGGTTATTCAGTGACAGGAATGTAGAGTACAGATGTGGATACCATTATGGCATGTAATAGTTGCATTTTTTGGGTTTACCATCATTTAACTTGTATAAAGAGCCAAATCTTACTGAAGATCTTAGTAACTAGAAAACTAACAGCTCCCAGGCACCACTGGCCTTTAGCGGGGCGGGGAGCAGCTGCAGCAAGACTAGTATGAAATATTTCCACCAATATCAATTAACTGTTCTGGCCAGTGTGTGCAGACTGATAATGTCTTGTGCTGTGATACGGAGTATGTGCTCTTAAAGGTCACTGTGGAGACTTTTCCTTTTGGTTTCCATATAGTTCGTCTATGCTCTCTTGTTCCATTTTCCACTCTACATTCAGCGGGGAGCAGCTGCAGCAAGACTAGTATGAAATATTTCCACCAATATCAATTAACTGTTCTGGCCAGTGTGTGCAGACTGATAATGTCTTGTGCTGTGATACGGAGTATGTGCTCTTAAAGGTCACTGTGGAGACTTTTCCTTTTGGTTTCCATATAGTTCGTCTATGCTCTCTTGTTCCATTTTCCACTCTACATTCAGTGTAACAGGCACTGGAAGAAGCTTAGGCATGCTTGTGGAAGTTGAGGATGAAGCAGGGAGATGGCTGAGAGGCAACTCAGCAAATGCAATCAGCCAGGCTACCTCCTGTCACTGCTAAAAGGTGAAATGCAGTTTAACTTCATTTGGACTAGATGGTCCTGACTGGAGAAAATTCTGTTTGCTTTTTTGGTCACTGACCACTTGATAGGAACAGAGCTTGCATGTGTTAAAGCATTCAGTCCTGTATGCTCATTTTTTTAAAGTACTGATGTTTTAATTTTATTTTTTTTCTGCCATCTCTTTATTCTCTGTCCATGTAAGCTTGTTTCTTGCAAGCACTTTATGCATTAATTTCAGTCATCCAGACCCCTTGTTTCCTCTTCCTTTTCAGATTTCTGTCTGTACCTCATCCTGTTCTTCTGTAACCCAGATTGTCATCATCATTATAATCATCATTATAGCTCAGAGAACAAAGAAATTCAAAACGCTACTGTATCTGTATGACCACATAATCTTTCCATTTATCTCACCTTCCTTTTGGTTTCTTTACTTGTGGTGGATTCTTACTGTATGGAGGACTGAGGACTCAGGGTTACTTGCAGGAGAAAAAAATAAATACTCCCCCACACACACCTTTTTCCTCCTAGCTGTTCTTCTGTAGAATGATTAGTATGTAGAATTATTAATCTGAATTTAAGACTGATTTGTAAGTTTTTAGGAGAACCTTTCCTCCGTCAGAACCAAATAAAATAGTTCTGCTGGAAAATGTTGCTCATTCTCTGCTGCAGCAGCAATGCTTATACACTAGAAAAGACTGAAAGCATTAATCCAGAACAGAAAAGTGTTTTGAAAGCAGAGTGGTCACGCTGCAGGCAATGCCTTACCTTCTGCTGCTGTTTTGCTGACAACAAGGAGAGAAAACAGGACAGTAATGGCATTTGTCTTATTTAATATTTTAGAATATGTATACATGGCAGAGATTATTGGTTGCTTGAAACATGAACAGTATGCTTTACCAGCATTTTAACAGGGGACTCTTCTAACATATTTTTAATTGTGATCTTGCACTATATGCATTTAAAATCCAGGTAATAAGTGACAGCACTGATACAATAAACTTTTTAAAAAATCAGTGAATCTAATTTTAATTTCTGTGTGAAAATTGTAATAGATTTTCAGTATTAGTTCCCAAATGCAATAAATTTGTTATGAAATACTCAGATTTAGGTGAAGAAAAGCAGGAAGTATAACTACTACAACAAATAAATCTCCCAGTTCCTTATATTGATGTTGAAGGACTTCCACCAAATAAAAATAGTAGTTTTTCTGTTCTGATTTTGAAAATAGAGATCTATGTTATTTACTAAAAACAGAACTAATAATAATAATAATGTATTTTTGTCCCAGATTGTCATCCATTGCTTAGATACTAATAATCACAGCAAAGTACTATTAAAGATCATGACTTTTTAACACATTTCCCCTTTGTATGCAGCTACATATAGCAGTGGGCTTTTTGCAACACAGTCTTGCAAAGTGGATTCTTACCTGATTTTCTAGTTGCTGTTTTTCTAGCTTTCTACAGAAATTTTCTTGTATCAAAATGATTTTGGCTCAAGTTGGGACCTCACATTTGCATTTGAATAATGAGGAATTTGTTTAAGAAAAATCTCCTTCAATATTTGTGTTCTTCAAGGGGAATATGACAGATCCTGATTTAACTATTTTGTGGAAGAAGCAGGATCTAATTGACTAGTCAGGATTTCTTTTGGAGCAAGTGTTTTGGCAATTGTAGCAGCTGCATTCCTGAAAGTGTACAAGGTAAATCTTTCTCTGCCTCCCTACCTTTCTGTGTGAATACATGTGGTAAATGAATGTAGTCCAAAATTATAAAAGCAAATTTTTTTAAAAAAAGATTCATTTAAATTGCAGTCATTAAAGAGGAATTGAATTGGCCTTTTCAATGTAATGCAAATCTCCAGCCCTTTCAGTGTGTTTTTCTCAGTGAAAAATGGCATTCGAAGAAGTAGGTGTCCATCTTAGTGATACAGTTGTCACATGCTTCTGAGGCAAACTTGAATTGAAAGATATATGGTTTGCAGGACTAGAGTGACATGTTAAGTGTGCAGTGAGCTTGTGAAGAGATGTCCATTTAATGTTTTTAATCTAACAACACTGTGGATCTTTGCTTTAGATACATGTATGGGGCTTTTTACATTAGGTTGGGTTTTTTTATTGCTTTGATAGAGATTTTTTCAGCTATCCACTTTTATCATTTTGGACAATCATTTGTTTAGTTAAGTAGGTCATCTCAAAAGTCTTCATTAATGTGCCACTGAAAGTGAGTAGGTCAACATGTATGACTCGATGGATCTGAATCTTGGAGAAATAAAGTCTTGTCTGTTATATAGCAAAAAGTCCATTGGTATAAATTTTCAACCTCAAAAGAAATTGTATTATGACATTCCTCAAATTCCCATTATTAGATGTGTGTTTATAGTAGAAATTAGCGGGTAGCAGAAAGTACAGGATTTCTTATAAGGCAGCTGTAAGGATAGAAATTTGCCAAGAAGAAAAATAATATGTAGCAAAAATAAAAGGTTTCTGGTTGTTTTTTTGCCCGTGCTCCACTCCACAAAAAGTGAATAGATTACAGAGGACAAAAATTCCAGCCCAAATTAATTGGGTAACTGTGCATAAAGTTGGTTCATTCTCTCATTAATTTTTTCAAACTGAATTCGAGGGCATGTGTTTTCACCTCTGTATTTAGACCACTTCTGTAAATGCTGATACACTTTCTCACAGGCTCTTTTCTCTTCCAATTTGGGGAGCAAGAAGACAAGAATCTGCCTAGATCTATTATCATTGAAACATATTTATGAATAAGTATTATTTGCCCAAGCTGCTATGGGTCAGGATTTCATCAGGCTATTTAAGCTGTCACTGAACTTAGTTAGCCACTCTTGTAGTTACAAGGTTCAATTATGGCTTTACTTGCATCTATTATTCTCTTAAAGCAAGCATTTGATTTTAAATCACCTGTTTAGAGAATTCCTTCAGTGAACAGCCAGTGTCTAAAATGGGAAGCATTTAATTAAAGATAGCTTAGCTCTTTTCCATGTACATTTCCTATTAAAGACCCAGGTGATATGTGGAAATACAGCAAATACGGAGTAGAATCTTCAAGCAGGAGAAGAAAATCCGAGGCAATTTTTTTCCTTTTTTCAATATGAGCCAGCCATGCCTTTACTTTTTACCAAACAGCTAAAAGGAGAAAAAAAAAAAAAAGGTCTTTGAGCAGTAGTTTATATGAATTGCAAGGCTCTTTTGAAATCTTTTTAATAGAACATAAATTTAGAAGCTTCTAATGAGATTTTTCCAAACATTTTCTGAACTAAGTTCAGCATATGGAATTTGAGGCTATGAATTTTCTCTGTTTTGGTGATTAGAGTTGGTATTGCTGTTACTTTTGCTGCAATGTGTGTGTTCACTGTCCAATCTGTATAACACTAATAATACATTTTATGCAAATTTCTATGGTGCTTTTTGTTGTGGTAGCTTTTTGGGGGTGGCACTGTTAGATGTATTTCGACTGTAATTTTGCTAGCTAAAGTTAAAAAAGAAGAGCCTACAGGACTGGCAGTTTGGGGCAGATGTGTGTCTATTCCTCAGGCATCAGTGGTTGTAAGTTAACTATAAAAATGTTACAGCCATCTGTGTAACAAGACGGCAGAGATCTGCTCTCGCCTGTTACTATAAATAAGAAGGAGATTTGTTTGACTTCATAGACATTGGATTTATAAAGACTATACGTGTCAAATTGGAACTATGTGCCATGTTGCTGAGATATGTCTGCAGCCAACTACCTGGGGTGTCTTCCCCTTCAGACATTCTAGTGTAGTGCAGCAACTGTGCAGTAATGTCTGTATAGCACAACATGTGACAAATTATATTTGTTTTCTACCTATGGGGAAATGTATGATTCTTACAGATAAGCTTATCTGGAAGAGTGGCTAAAATGGATTCTTAAATGGACCACTCAAAGAGTGAAAATGCAGTATTCAGTTTGACAAGGATTTTAAA